TTGGCGGAGCAGACCAGAAGGCCAAGGAGAGAGGGAGTCTTGTTGCTGAGTCCTTGCCTTCAACTCGATGCGGCAGCGTGCCTTCCTTGAGCAGCGCGCCAGCCGCAGTCTCACCTCTCTGGCGCTGCCTGGGTGGCGAGACGGCGCCCCCTTGAACGTCACACGGGCTATGGATCACGAGTCAAGGAAGGACCAGAAGAGATTGCGTTCGAGACGCGTTTTTTTTTCCTCGTCGACCGGGAGCGGCACAGCCCAGACGGACGCCACGCCCGGGAGGCCGGCACGCGGGGGATCTGCGCGAAGAGCCAGCTGCTGAAGCCGGCCGGCCTCCCGCCGACCTCCCGCCCGACCTCCCGCCGGCGGAGCTGCCCTCGCGTTTCCTGCGCCCGCCTCCGCGGGCTGCCGGCGGTGGGCGAGCGATCGCGCTCGTCGATGCCTCGCAGGCTTCCCGCATCACAGAGGCAACCACGGGCATCAGGCTTGCTCCGCGCTGTCGTGTGCGTGTGTGTACGTGTGTGTACGTGTGTGTGTGTGTGTGTGTGGATTTTCAGTGACGGAGCGAGTCTCTCCCCTGTGCCGGGCTGAGCTGAGGTGTGACAGGAGACAGGGTGGAGGCTGTGCTTGGCGTGAAAAGGATCGTGGAGCGCCCCAGGTGATTGAGAACAAGGAGGTGGACACCGTGCAGTGGCGCATCGAGAACGTGGAGCAAGTTCGATCCAAGCACGTGAAGGGCCAGTTCCTGGCGTCCCCAGAGTTCTCCGCGTGCGCCGTGGGGGTGGGTGGGTTGTTGGAGGAGGCGAGGGGTGAGCGGGATTGATGATGATGCAAATGATAGTGACGATGATGATTGTGATTGTGATGATAATGATGATGATGATGATAATGATGATGATGATAAGGATGATGATGATGATGATGATGATGATGATGATGATGATGATGATGATGATGATGATGACGATGATGATGATGATGATGATGATGATGATAGTGATGATGATGATGAAGCTGCTGCTGATGATGATTATGATGATGAGTATGATGATGCTGATGCTGATTATGATAGTGATGATGATGATGATTATGATGATGATGAGGATGATGATGAGGATGCTCATGATGATGTTGATGATGATGTTGGCTGATGATGGTGATGGCTGATGATTATGATGATACTGTTGGTGATGATCATGGGGGTGTCGGGTATGATTATGATGATGATGATGATGATGATGATGATGATGATGATGATGATGATGATGATGATGATGATGATGATGATGATGATGATGTCGATGATGATGCTGATGCTGCTGATGATTATGATGATGGTGATGATGATGGTGGTTGTGATGATGCTGTCGATGATGCTGATGGTGATGATGATGAGGAGGAGGAGGAGGAGCAGGAAGATGACCAGAGTAGACCTAAGATGCGTCAGCGGTGCTGGAAGACACCGTCCCGTCCCAAGTCCTCTCCTCAAGCTTTTCTTTATAAGAAGGGACCCCTAGAAAGGCCAGCATCCCATGGGTTTGCAATTTAGGCGATAATCCCGTTTGGAGCAGCAACTGCCCTGCATCCTCCCAGCGCGTAACCAGGAATGCGAATAGGTATGATCACACAAGTCAACGAGGTGCCCTATTCTGTTCTCTTTTGAAAAAGGGCCGCCCCTATTCGCGTGCCTGTTGCAGTAATCTATTTATCTGGTCATGCGCTTCGAAGACGTTTCAAGTGAGAGCCCCACTTTGAAAAGGAACCACCCTCCAATCTTGACCACTGCGCTGTAGCCTCGCCCAGTGCGCTTTGCCCAGTGTGCTGTAGCCTCGCCCGTGTACGGGCCCCTTTTGGTTTGACCGGTCTTCTGTCTGTCTGTCCTCTAATCTTGCTTTACAAACCAGGGCTCGACCTGACAGTGTTTTTTTGCGATTACGTGGACCGTTTCCGTTTTGATTTCGTTTCGCAGCGAAGACAGAACGAAAACGTAATGAGCAACAACGATGACAAGACGAAAACGAGAAAACATTGTTTAGCTCGAGCCTTCTTACAAACTTGCAAGACGAATGTGCGGTGCCAGGGCGAGAGCTCCATTTTACAAAGAAGCCACCCTCCATCCCTCTAACGGTTGCAAGCTTTTAAAAGGCGGCAGTGTGCGGCGCTACAGCGAGAACCTTATTTGGAGAAAGGAGCCGCCCTCTATCTTTGCAGTTGCTGCAAGCTTGCACATCGAATGTGCGCGGCGCCAAGGCGAGGGAGATCAGCTTTGACCCCCTTTTCTCCGCATCCGTCTAGCTGTCGCAGTCTTTGAAACGACTGTGCGCGGCGCTAAGGCGAGAGCTCCATCTTGAAACCAACTGGCTGCATCCTGATACATGTCTTGAACCTGGCTTCATGATACTAACGGTGAGGTGGTATCAGGCGAAACATTTGGCCCGCCCTACCAACACGGTTGGGTGTGCGATGAAAGGAAGTTGCCTGTCAGGACGTCGGATGGTGGAGAACCTGAAGTGATGAATTGCGGACACCTCATCTATATGAATGGGCCCGGGTTCTTGGTACCAACGCGCTGTAGAGGACGGAGGTCACAAGCGCTCATCGTGTTTGCAGTATGGGGTGGCAGTTCCTCCCTTGAGAAAAAACAGGAGCATTACATGAGCAGGGGGGAGGGTAGGGGTGTTTTCCCCCAGGCCCCCCACCCACCCACCCTCAAGGGTTTTTTTTGGAGGCAGCAAGCCTCAAGGGGTGTTTCTGGTGGGGTCAGGCTGTTTTCTTTTTCCCCGGATCCCCCCGGAAACCTTGAATCTTCCTTAAGAGGGGTTCGGCCGGGGGGGAGCTACTGTCCACCCGCCCCGTGGGGCATCGCGTTCCTGATCGCTGGCCCCGCCGCAATGGCTCCATAGGCAACTGGGGGGAGGGAGGCGTTCAGGGGCGGCGAGTGCGACCAGAAGTGCTTCCCCCCATATGGGGCGCGAGGATTGGAAGGACCACGGGGCCGCGGGGCCCAGTCGGAGTGGGACCCTTTCACCACCCAGGGGAGCTTGGGGGACATCAGCTACGACGCCCACTAAGCGCACTCTCACTAGCGTGGCGCAGCAGGCCTACGAGATCAAGGAACCCCAGGAGCAATACCTTGCGCGCGAGGCCACGAAGGGCACGTTGGCAGCTGGCCCGCGCGACAAGGAAGAGCCTCGCACCCGGCAGGATGGGCGCCGTGACGATCTGCAGGTGAAGCGGTTTCTGAGGAGGTCGGCCGCAGCCTGGCGCCACCCCGCCACGTTGATGCACGGCGAGGGCGCGGCCAAGAGAGACTGGCCAGTCTGGTGCTAAACGCGCGTGCAGAGCTTCACGCGCCACCCCAGCTTCGGCCACATCGTCGAGGGGCAGGCGGCCGACTGCGGCTGGCCTCAGGAGGCGACACGGCAGGCCATTGCGCTGCAGGCGCGCGACGACGCATGGCGCAGGAGTAGGGCGGGGGGGGCTCGCGCTCCAGCGGGACTTCAGAGCCCCCGCGGTCCGCGGCACCGTCCCTTGACATCGGAGTCGGATGCCCCATGGGTCCCGCTGGGCCCCGCAATCCCTCTACGACGACGAATGCCTGAGCGCGGTGCAGCACTGGGAGCAGCGGTGCATCTCCCACGTCCGCGCCCAACTGCATCTGCCTGCCTTCAACCGCGTCTTCCAGGGTTCGCGCGGCGACGCGCGCCCTTTAGTCATCCAGCGGCTGGCCGAACACACGTGCCAGAACGCGCGGGGCAAGGGCGAGCGGAGGCGCACTGCTCTCATCGGCGCCATGATGGGGCTTCCGGAGGAGGACCGTGGAAGGAGGTGTCGGCAGCAGCGCGGGCAGTGCGAGCGGCGGAATGGCCAGCGCCCTCGCGTCGTGCTCGCGCCGCGCCTATGCTCGGCATCAGCGGCTGTCCCCCTTGACATCGGCGTCGGCACCTACGTCTAGTTGGAAGGGCCCGACCTCGGGCAGCTCCCCCGCCTCGGAGGCGGGGCGGTGGGGGGCGCCGAGGCTAGCCTGGGCAGTGGCCGCGGTGGCGGCGGCGGCAGCGGCAGCCGCAGCCATTGGCGAGACTGGCAGACCAGCGGGTGCTGCGGCTACATCTTCAGCATCGGCACCCAGCCCGACAGGACCTACCTCTCCGAGGGACGGGCGGTCGCCCGCGGTCGCGCCCAGCAGGGGTGAGCATCCTACGGGGGTTGGCAGAAGGGTTCCAGTGGTGGAATGCGCCAAGCCTGCCAGTTCCCATGCGACCTTGTCGGCCCAGCCCAGTAGGCGGGTTCGGAGGTGGTCCTGTGTCGGCGCTGGCTGCCATCGGCACCGCGGCGTGGGGTCCTCTTTCCGCGACGGCGGGGGCGGCGCCAGCGGGGAGGCAGCCGCGGCGGCGGCCTCCCCGTCCGCGGCGAGGCTGGCAGGAACGGCGGCCTCATCTGCTCCAGCCTCAGCGGCAAGCCCGACGTCGGCGCGCTCGAGGCAAGTGGCGCCGCCTCTCGCTGCGCTCAGAAGGCGCGGCGTCTCACCAGCGGGTGCCGAAGGTTTCCGCGTGCGCGCGGAGAGGCGCCGCCTGGCCCTCCGCTCCCAGGGCGACCCCGACGGCGTTCACCAGGAGGGCGGCCCCAGTGGCGGAGATGACCTCTCAGCGTGAGTCACCATTCAAACTCTCGTTGCGATCGTTGCGCTTGGCTCGCGCGCGCCCGCCTCGCCCTTGGCGCAGGCCAGGGGCGAGAGCGTGGATGGCCCGTCGGCGATTTGGCCACGGGCCAGGACTGCCCCCCCCCCCCCTGTGGGGGAACCTGCCGTATATCCGTGGGTACTCAAATCCGATTCTGCTGTTCTAGGATACCCTACTGTTCTTTATGTCCTCTTCGCTCCTCTCCTCTGCTCTATTCGGCTCTGCTCAGCTCCACTCGGATCAATTGCTCTTGTCTACCCTACTCTACTTTATCCTCTTCTCTTCTACTCTACTCTGCTTCTGACTTTGACGAGTATTAGCTGCTTATTGGGGCGCTATTGGAAAAGGCAACGGGGAACCACCGCAATAGCCACAACCAACGATTGCCACAGCAAAACTAAAAGAAGTCAACGCAACCATTCGGTGCAAATTAGGGGGGAGCCATCGCAATCATTTGAGGCTCAATAAAAGGGAGGGACCCGTGGGCAAGTTCTCTATGCGCTTGAGCTCTGGTTCTTGAAGGCAAATCTATATGGGGAGTCAGGGAGAGGGTGGGGGGAGGAAGAGGAGGAGAACTGTGAAACAAGTAAGACGGAAAACAAGAAGCGTAAGGATGATCATCCTAGTGAAAGTATTCACTGCGTGGAGCTCCCCATCGGTGCATCAATTTGCATGGACCTTTCCGCTGCGAGTGCTCAGGCGCAAGAGATTTCGACTATAAACGGTTTTGAGTATGAATAGATTGGGAGTGAGTCTCAGAAGTTCGGGTGAGTCTGTGCGCATGAGCCTGGGGCCTCCTGGGGCCTCCTGAGAAACATCCTGGGGCTTCATGGTGCCTCCTGGGGCCTCTTGGGGCTTCACGTGACCTCCTGAGACCTCCTGGTGTGGCCTCCTGGGACTTCCTGGAGCCTCCTGGGGCCTGATCACAACGAAAACTGCTTGGTTAATACTGGTGTGACGTGGTCTGCTCACAACGAAAACTGCCAGGACACTATGTTCAGTCGGTGTGGTTGCTTGGTTTTGTCTGGTAGCCTTGAGCCGGCTCGGAAGATACCACACAAGTCACACATGAAATTGGAAAATGTGTAAGAGTGTCTGGACAGCTCGAGCACGGCTGCGGGTCCAGCCGGGCAAGACAAGGATGAGCAGGAGGGGGCGAAGGCGCAAGAAGAGTGCTGGGGCATGCGGGTACAGCTTTGGACGAAGTCCTGGGGCCTCCTGGGGAGGATTCGTGCCCCAGGATAAACCCAGCTTATGGGAACAGACGTGCACAAAACACTGCGGATTGGAGCCGCAGGAGAAGGGCAATCCATAGAAACACGCGTAAATCACCAAGGATTCGTGCCCGATGGGGAGGCCCAATCTACAGGAACATACGTAACATAGTTAGGATTGGATAAGCAAGCGCAGGACAATCTATAGAACAACACGTAAAACACTAAGGATTCGTGCTCCAGGGGAGGCGCAATGTATGGAGCATACGTACAACACATGGGATTGGAGCCACTCCTGTGGCCTTCTGAGGTCTCCTGCTCCTGTGGCCTCCTGGGGCCTCCTGGTGTCTTCCGGGGCCTCCTGGTGCCTCCTGGCGCTTCCTGTGGCCTCTTGGGGCCTCGTGTGGCATCCTGTGGCCTCCTGGAGCATCCTGGAGCCTCCCGAGGCCTTCTGGAGCTTCCTGGGGCCTCCTGGAGCCTCTTGGGGCATCCTGTGGCCTCTCGAGTCTTCCTATGGCCTCCTGATGCCTCCTGGGACCTCCTGTTGCCCTGCTGGGGCCTCCCGGAGCCTGCCGGAGCCTCCTGTGGCATCCTGGGGCGGATCCGTGCCCGCGAGTTTGGCCACCAAAACAGGCGAACCGATCGAGACATCTTCAGATTCTGGCCCCACTTGGGGGCGAAAATGGGCGCCTCGCTCTAGACATCCTCAAAATCTGTTCCGAAAGCGAAGGATATTGCGGCACCGAAACAGGCAAACCGCCTGAGACATCCCCGCTACTTTGGCGCGAAAGGAAGCCGTGCAATATCCCCTGGCGGCTCCCCCTTGGCAGTGCTGAAATCCGCGCCTCGCTCGAGACATCCTCAGAATCTGCTCTGAACGCAGACGAGCCGGGCCCCCCAAATAAGCAAACCGCTCGAGACATCCTCGCCATTTGGGCCCCTCTGGGGTGCGAAAACCAGCGCCTCACACAAGACATCATTTTTCATCAGTATCATGCATCGTCTGCATCAGCATCGTCGTCATCACATTCTTATCGCCATCATTCGGTATCATCATACTCTGAGTGCGTCATCATACTCTGAGTAGGATGGGGAAGAGAGGGATGAGGTGAGGAAGGAGGTCCGCGCGGTCGGTAATACCACACATCCATCTTTTGGATATGGGGAATAACATAGCACATCAGAACATGACATACCAAACCATACCATAACATGGTATAGCATACTCTGAGTGAGATGGGGAAGAGAATGAGGAGGGGAGGAGATGTGAGGAAGGAGTCGGCGCGGTCAGGGTAATAACAAGAACCCCATCCTTTGGATATGGGGAAACTGCTACGACGAACAAAATTAATACGATTACGAATAATAATGCGAACACGACTCATAGCACTAATAAACATGTTACTTATAATTATACGTATGTTACAACTGATACTGAACATCGTACTACGAATGCTAAGAATAATAATCAGGCGGGGCGGAGGAGGACGAGCAGGTGTCCGAAGAAACAAGGGAGGATCAAAGGGGATGAAGGTATTTGGGGTGACCGTGATGATGGGAACGGTAGGGATGACGAAGGAACTGTTGCTGATGATGAAAGTTTTGACGTTCGC